GAGCCTTCCGATTTATCTTTTCTTGAAGGCTCTCTGCACCTATTGCAGTTAACTTGTACAAATTGCAGTTAAATTTATCGAATGTTTTCTATCAAGGTCTCGAAACGGGTTCAGTACCGTCCTGCTGTCATATCGTGCCACAACCACCGTGAAATGACGTGATAAAGTCGCGTAATTAAAATATGAACAGCGTTCATCTGTTGGCCCGGCATTTGTCTATGGCTTGCATCGGTGGCCGCTGCTCCATTGCCTGTGGTATAAAGCGGTGCTCTATTTTAAATAAATGTTTTGTGGCAAGCAAAAAAGTTATTCGTATTAGCTTAAGGATAGAAACCGGCAGCGGCTGCAACACGATGCGCGACTCTCACGGATGCGACTGCTGCGCTGCTGTTGCTGCTGCTGCTGCTGCCGTGGACCATCAGTATCTGAGCTGGTGTGGGGCCAACACATGGTTGTTGGTGGTGGCACCGCAGCCCGCTCCTTGCGCTCGAGCTGCCAGCGAGAGCTGCGGGAGCTAATAAATTTTTCGTCGACTGTTTGCTGTTTGCCTGCCGCTATTGATCGTTAAGTAAATTGTCTGCAATTATGCCAAAAGGGAAAATAATAGAAATTATAACGAAAATGCTGTTGACTTTGTGTGCCGAACGGATGAAATTGTGGGAAGGTGCCGCCACAACCACCGCATCTTTCTCCTCTGCTCCATCATGCATCACACCTCGCCACACTTCAATGCACTTCAGTTCTGTTTAGTTCAGTTCGGTTCAGTTCAGTTCAGTTCAGTTCAATTCCCATTTGTGCATAAGTGACGTGACGCGTTTTGCCGTTGCCTTTATTGCCAATCGTTTGTATGCAGCAAATGCTGGTGCTCATAATTTTCTCTTAGGTGGCAAATTGCTGGCAGTTGCCTGGAGTTCCATGTGGGTCAAAATACACACGAATATCTCGGCTCAGTTGGAAATCTGTCTAACCATCTTGACATTCATATTTATAACTCGTGCAAATTCATTTAATTGTTTGTTATTGATAAGTGAAACTTACAATGCCTACAACGATAACAACTGCAACAGGAATAGCAACAACAACTTTGGCGGCCCACATAAGCCAAGAGCCAGCAAACGAAGCAGCCAAATGTCTGGCTAGTTGCTTGGATAACAAACTTACTGAATGACTGACTTACTGACTGACTGACAACTGACTGGACAACTACTAGCCGGAGTTTTGGGTTTGACTTGTTTGAGGCGACTATCGACATGTTACATCCGTGCCGACTCTCAACGTTCAATTAACATGAGCAGCTACGAAATCAATTAAGAAATTGCCATGCGATGCTAATAATAACTATGCCACGCCCCGAAGTCATCGACGGCCTTTTAGAACCCGGGGCTGTCATTCAACATGAGATTTGAGTAGCTCTACAGTGGCTGTCCACTGTGCGCATGCATTTGCATTCATGCGAGGGCTGCTCAATCAACTGTTAACTAACGAATGTGGGCATTAAATCTGAGGTATACAATATCAACTTTAGCGAAGTCAAGACCTGACTTGCACGGAGCCAAATAGAGAAGTAAAGTTTGAGTTCTTCGCTTCTGATTTGATAAATGATCTCCCACAATTTGACAAGTCACCCACCGCAAAGAGTTGCATGTTGTTAGGCCCATTTGACTGGCTGACCAGCTGACTGTGGCAATGTTTGTCCTGCGGACATTTGATTGATGCATGTTCCTCGCACACAGACAAAATGCTTAATTGGCGCATATTCATGACAGGCCCCGAGCAAAGCGACCCCGCTGCCTATAAAGTGCATAAAAAAATGCAGATTACATAAACGCTGAAAATGTTGACAAATGTTTAGGCAGGACTTTGATCCTGTTTTCACACATTGTGCAACACGCCCAATGGCAGCTAGTTGCATGTGTATGTGAATGTGTATCTGAATATGTTTTGCCCCGCCCGCGCATTGTCACTCGTTCAATTCCAATTGGAAATCGCAATCGTCGTCAGCAACGTGTAAAAATATTTGTGTAACTGACTTCGATTTTGGTGTTTTTTTTTTTTTTTTGTTTTTTAAGTTTGTTTCTGTTTCTGATTGCTGCAGTTGATGCATTTCAAATGAGTTGATTTATGGCAACATTTCGGCTGGCTTTTGAATGACTGACTGACTGACTGACTGACTTTGCTAACTGGCTAGCTGGCTGTATGTATGTCCGTCCTGCTGGCTGGCTGGCTGCCTGTCGCAGTGCATGAATGAAGGCTTGTTGATGTTGTGACAGCTTCAAAAACTGGCCAACGCGGGCCAACTTCCAGCCAAATACATGTTAAACTGCTTTAATTACTCAGCTAGCAATGTACAACGGTGCATGTGTACATATGTACAATATGTACAGGCATTTTTGGTTTGTATTTTGAGGCCAAAGATTTATGAGAATTTCGGCCGCGCCCAATTGCTGTGGCAGTTCGGTTGCAGAGCTGCCCTTAGCCAAAAGGAAAGTTGTTGGACATGCGACGACTTATCTTAACTGACCTGCAGATAGTTTTGTTTGTAAAAAGCAACATTTGACTCCCACGCGACAGAGCAACAGCAACAGCTACAGCGACACGAATTGAAACCAAATGGCACACATGCTGCCCCCTGTGGGTGCCACGTCCTCTCTCGTCTTGTCCTGTGTCGTCTCAATGGTATAGTCTGCGCGAACGACTTTGATAAATTCCGCACAAACACACGAGCATTTGAATAATGAAGCGGGGGCCTCGGCCACAGCATCCAATGGCAATGGCCGGCGAGCCTGGCGGGCCCGGCTAGTCGATGCCCGTGCGGCTGTTGGGGGCATCAATCTGTCAACGCCGTCGCGTTTGTTGCATGCGCGTGCGCACAGTTTGAGTTCGATGGGTTTTCTGCCACTGTCGGCTTGGCAAAGGCAAAGTCAGCAACAACAACAACATCAGCAGCAACAATGAGCAACAGTTAAATCGCGTGCCGCATGGCTGGCGCAGCTTTGTCGCCGGCGTGGGTCGTCTATCAATTAAACAAAGCGGCTGCTGCAATATCAAATGCAAGGCCGGCATGACGGCCACCCAAAACGCTGCTCCAGTTGCTAGTTGCCAGTTGCCAGTTGCCTTTTGCGGCATCAACAACGGCAACGGCAACGGCAGGCATCGTCGTCGCTTCCGCTCTGAGCAGCTAACCAGTTTGGTGTTTGCCAGCAGCCGTTTCTTTCCCCTTTTCCCGTCTTCAGCTCCGCCCCCGTGACCACCTTCATCCTCTTCTCGTGCAGGATTTGCCGACATGGAGCATTATTTAACGACACAATTCGTGCAACTCCCACGCATGCAAACTGAAAGCGAAAAATGCGCACAGAGCTCGCCGGTTGCTTGCTGTTGCTGTTGCTTAACTGATGCCCCAGCGACCGAAATTGGCGCAAAAATGTCACCAGCTTGCACTCCCTGGATATGCATCGATCATCGCAGCAAAATGTCAAAACTGCGGCGCGTTTATCGACCCACCAAAGCAGCTTTAATGTCAGTTTAGCAATTTGACAAATGACTTGCGATACCAGCAACAAGCATTGCACAAAATGTTGAAAGCTGCGTTCAATGCAACGCAGACCAATGATGAGAACTGAACTCGGCTATAGCTATGGGTAGAGCAATAGCTACCTGTGCGCCAAACCATCGATTGGGGTTATCGGGTGAGCCTAATCGGCGATAAAAATGTTTTGCCTGCATGTAAGATCAGATGTTGACGATGCTGCCATCGCCAGACATTCATAAATGTTGCGCTCGCAAGAGCATTCAAAAACAAAAATACAAAATACAAATTCACAAAAAAAACCAAATATTTAAGCATATCGCATTTCAGCGGCAGCAGCAACTGCCACAAATTACACGCAGCCCGGCGACAAGAGGCATTAATAATTGGTAAACTAAACGCAATATCAAAGCATGCTGGCAAGCGTTATCAATAAAACTGTTCAGCGGCCACGCCCTCGCACGCACTTGGTAGCGAGTGCGGCAGCCTGCAGGATGGATGACAAATTGCGCAAATCCATGAGATAGTTTCGCCTGGCGGCTGGGCAGTCGCACGATTGCATTGCCAATTGCATAATGTGCAGCTTAGATTTGTATCTTTTGCATGCGGCAACGACCGCGCCATGTTGTTGACTCAAAACGCTGTCAAAATGGCAAAGCAAAAATGATTCGTGGAGATAAAGACTGGGCGCGCAAAAATCCAACTAGACCCACAAACAAATGAACACTCAGCTGGCCCAGAGAGCTGGGCTAGGCCTGGCCTGGTCAGCCATGAACATTTAATAAACAATTTTGCACCATTTTGAAGGAAGGCGGCAACTGCAAATGCTGCGACGACTACTGCTACCTCTGCTGCTGCTGCTGTTGTTGTTAATTGCCATCATTAGCTGTTCATCTGCAGCCGAGGCTTATCAATTATCTGGACTAGCATGGCCAGATCGTTGGCAATTAGCCGGGCTAAGCGTCTAATTAAGTTGCCCCAGCAGTTAGCAGTCTTTGCACATACGAGTTCTGATCGATGGCGTGTTAGTGGCCAACAATTTGGTTATAGGAGATGCTGATGCTTATTGCATGCGAAAAAGACACGTTCGTATCTGACCGCACAATAACTACTATTTGCAGCTCTAATTGCATGAAGTTGTAGATTAATATGCATTTGCAATAGATTTGTATATTAATTGGATTTATAGCTTTGTTTAGTAGGTTAAACTTTCGTTTATCTTTATCGTTTGTGTTTACGTAGTTTACATGCATCGGAGATGTTTTTGTGTCATTTTAAAATATGTTAAATGCATATTTAAATTTTCGTTTACTTTGTTATAAAGATATGTTATATCATAGATTACTTTTTCTCTCCCATCTATATAACATCTGAAAATCCAAAAACCCTCTGCTTAAGCTGTCATGTCAGATTGTTCAATAACGTGCAGCGGGTTTCTGTTTGTTAATGGAAAGGCGGCAGAAAATATAAATGTACCAGCATCAGACCTAAATCAGTGTTGTGATTCAGAGGTCTGGAGTATTTATATTGCACAATCAAAAACAAAAACAAAGGTAATATTAAAATATAAAGTGAAAGAGAAAAACATGTAGCCCTATAATTATGTTCCAACCATGCCCCTCATAACCCACGATTCGGTTGGCTCCGGTGCAGCATTTTGGCGCTGATCCTCACGCAGCACCTCGTCATAGAGATTTGCAAATAGACGAATTTCCTGTTCCGTGAGTGTCAGCACCAAAGTGTCGTTCAGCATATCAATGTCAATATCGAATAGATGCACAAAGTCAGGGGTCCGGAGATCTCCATCTTGATGGGGTGGCTCTGGTGCCGGCATGGCTGCTGGGACAACATGCGGATCTGGATCTGTTGTGCTGTCATTGGATGCTTCAGCTGGATCGCCAGCGCTCACCTGAAACTCGCGACGACACAACGGGCACCGAGGATCGCCCCTCACCTGCAAATAGCGTTCTAAACAATCCGTGCAAAAAGAATGGCTGCACGGCAAGCAACAAGGCCGCTGTTGCTCATCTAAACAAAATATGCATGGATTAGGGTTAGACTTCATGATATCGGACCTTCAAGGAAATGCACAAAAACTTATCCAACGACACTCGCTTACAAATCTAAATTCGCTTAAAAGGACACCGTTGATAGTTGAATTACACACAAACGCTTGAATTCGCCTCAAGGTTTTCAATTACAAAAGGCTTGCAAAAGCGACTTAGCAAGCACTGCCTACTTATTAACATACATTTTAGAATAGCAAAAAAACGGGACATTATAATTATTACAAATACCCTGCCATCTGTACCAGTACAAGTTTTATAAACGTTATTGTATTTATTTTATATATCCAAACAACCATAACACCCTGTTAGTATAGGTAAATAGCCGAAAGCAAGCCATTATCCCAATGCATACATAACGTTGACTTTGCTAAAAGAACTGCTCTCTGGGAATATTGAATATTTTCATTAAATCTTGGTCAAAGTTTATGGCAATTTTCAATATGTTTCTCCGACAACGACGTCGATGACGACGCTACTGCACCCGTTGCTTTTGTTGCAGTTCTTGCTGGTGCCATTGTTGTTATTATTATTGTTGCAGTTGCTCGATTCATTCAAATTGCATTCAAATCAATTACATTCGAACTAAACATAATTCATGTGGTATGGGTTAATACAACAAATTACAACTGACATTTAAACAGAAACATGAAACGGACAATTTAACATGAGCCACAGCCAAGCCGAAGAATAAAACAAAAAAAATAATAAATAAAAGCAATACAAAGGCTGGCAACGGCCGCTGCCAGGCATCATATGAGGCAATGGGCAAAGGCAAAAATCGAGAAAACCGAAAAGCCGAAAAGTCAAAAACAGACGAAAACAAAATTCAAAAATAAAGGCGCACATAAAATCGGAGCCACTCAGACAAACCAACAACGAGCGATCAAGGCAAAGTGACCTTCAGTGGCCACAAAAAGTGCAGCCCCACACACAGGCAACAACTTCATGGCTAAGAAAACCAAAAGAAAAAAAAACAATAAAATTCTTTTCTCACGATTGTTGACTTTAACACTTACAGCGTCGAAAAATTACGAGGCATATTCACTGTCATTGCCTGCAAAGCCCCGCCAGAAATTAAGCTTGACAGCGTGGCCGCATAAAATGCACTCGTATACAAAGTTTTCGTATACCGATAATAATAATAACAACGACTACAACAATAACAACAACAGCAATAACAACAACAGCAATAACAAAGGCAACAACTGGAAATAAGCTACTGTGCTGGAGACAAATTTCCAGCTGACGAGTCGGAAAGCAGCAGGAAGACTCGTGGCTGCAACCTTTCAATGGAATCGAGAGAGTAAGAGATAAATGTTCTTTGCCGGGTCTGGCAATTTTTGCTTAATTTTATGTGCTTTGCATATTTTCACTGTGATTGCATTAAAATTTTGTTTGCGTGTTGAACTCAGTTATTTGTGCTGCTTTTATCGATTTAATGCATTTCGTAGTTGGCCTGTCCGCAAGGTTTTAAATCTGTTCGCCTGCCTTTGTTTTTGCAATTAAGTGAAATTTATATTACTGCAAGTTCGTCGCTTAAGTCTTTTGTTTGCGCGTCGCACATCGTGGCACGTAAATTGCCGAAAAAGATATTTCCTACTTGGACTTGCCGGGTCTGTGCTGCGTGGGCCGCTACTAAGCGCTTCCCACTCCGCAGACACCCTCTTCTTGATTCTCTGTCCCCGCGCCAAGCTGAGCTTGAGTTGTCCTGGCAGCGGCTTCTCTTGCAGCAGTAGCTTATTTTAATCCACCGCGTTGGTGGCGTGCATACATAATACATAATTACTGGTTTCACTTTTTGCCTGCCTGTGATTATCGTGGCATTTCTTGACGTTTTATTTTTATTTTAATTCTCTTTTTTTGCAGCCATTGTGGTTTTTTATTGCCCTACAGTTGTTGTAGTCATTGTAGTTGTTTTTTTTTTAACTTTTTTCTGTATAGTAGAGGTCGCATCGTATGGTTTCTTTATTTTTAATTTTTATGATGTGTTAATGGATATTTTTGTGACATGACCTCCTGGCATGCTGTTGTTATGGCCGTAGCCAAGCCGCCTACTTGATGAGTTCTGCCTACCTGTCAGGCCGTCCGATTTAGTAGAGCCGAAGCGTCTGCATAGAGTGAAACCATCGCAGCCATTATGCAATGTTATGCATGTCCAGTTGAAGTGCGCTATAATTGAAGCTATTTAAAGCTTGTTTAATGGCAAGGACACGCCACGATGCATGCAAAGCCGTCCACAAGGCTGTCCCCTTCTCGGTCCTGAGCGTGTCAGCCCGCCAATCAGTTTGATGGGCGGTGCGAATGTGAAAATCGGCAAAAACCCGACCGAGCAGCCGATTAATATCTTAATAGCGTTTGGAGGCGCTAGATGGCGCCCTAACATATACGCCCGATCATCACACTTAAGTGAATTTCTCATCCAAATGTGACCCAGTTTCCTATCAAGCATCTGCACTTCTGCGAAGTGCCTGCTGATATTGAGAACAAAACAGGGGAACGAAATCGAGATGAAGTTCGAGCTGTATCGGAGTCGAGCGAGTTGTCGCTCAAATTACACGCACACAGCTCGGCTGAAAGCTGATTACAGGCCCCGAGGCATACAATTTGCATCAATAAAACTTGAAGCCTGGCGCGGCAACGTCTGCTGCTGTAGGTCAGTTTGTGATTCCTGTCCCTGACTCTGCCCTTAAATGCCGTTCATCTTGTTCAGCGTGGCGTTGATTTGTTGACTGCTTCTGCATTTGGCTTGGCCGTTCACTGGCTTCAATCAAGTGACGATGGTCGCAAACGAGCCAAAGGCGCTTACAGGACGGATTCCAGGCCCGGCCTAACGCACGCCCCGTACACTTTCATCTGAGCCGAGGCCGACATGTTATCCACAGCATGTCTCTTATCGGATAAGAGTCGACTATAGCGATGGCTGATGGTCTCTGGCCACTTGACCGTCCAATAATTACTTTCTCCATCTTGAGTGGGCAAAGACTGTTATTGATTTCTGATTGCCGACATAATTTTATTATGCATCATTAAGCCGATAAAGTCTCTGCTGGTACACCAAATAACAACGCACATTTGCAGTCATTTGCAAATTGCTTATGGTCTTTGAAGAACTTTAGCTTCGGAAAAGAGCGATCCCATGAAACCAGAGATATTTTTCATAAACGTAAGACTTTCCAAAAATTATGTGTAAATGTGAAAGGTTCACGGCCTATCCTATATAAGTGGAAATTTCAATCGGAAACACTTTTGGTCAGGGTTCATTTGATTTGCATGTGAAAAAGCCGCTGGATTTATTATTTTACCGATTAATAAATCTTCGCTAATGATTTGCAAGAAATACAAAAACAAATTGAGCTGTAAATTTAACAAAGGTCATTAGATCAGTGACTGATGCTAAAACTAAGAGCTGATTTATGCTGTTTTATGATTGTTATGAAATGTAAATGTTATACAAGATACTGGCAGATCTCGCTGCGATCTTATTAATGTATGTTGCCATAAGTCGCCTCATACAAACTCTTACAATGTGTAACAGCATGTGTATCTTAATCTCATCAAGGCTTATAGTTGCCCTCTTTTGGCCAAGGGCCCTTATTTATAGCATGTATGTGTATTATTGTGCAATTTCTTTTGTGGCAGTTGAAGTTTGCTAAATTAACTTCACTTCAGATGAAAAGCCGCCAAAAAGGCAAATCCGCAGTATCAAAAAAATAAAAAAATTTTGGCATACAGAAAAAACCAAAAATAATAACAGCTGCAGCTTCTCCACACCGCTCAAGTGTTATTTCTGACAGTTCAGACGTCCACTCCAAAGTGAGATCTGTCATAAAAACGACCTGTGCCGCTCTTGATTTTGATTTTGATTTTGGCGGATTTTGGATGACGGGCTGCCCGGCAGCCTGGCTGCCATTTCAAAACGCAACAGCCCAAAAATTTATGCAGATTTTAAATTAAAGCGCCTTATCAACAACAACAAAAAGCATAACCGGTTGCTCGATAGCCAATTTTGTCTGGGTCTCAGTCTCAACTTCAGTCTCAGTTTCAGTTGATGGGTTTTCTTTTCATTTTTTGTGATTTTATTTTGGAGTGGCACTTCCTTAATTGGAGCAGGCACTGCAACAAGTGCAGCGCTAATTCATTATATTATTTAATAAATATAATTAACGAATAATGAAAAAACAAAACGAAACGCAAAAAAAAATTTTTGTTTTTAAATATGCAGCGATCACTACTCATTTGTTGCCAACATTAAAATTACTTAATAATTTCCATCAAAACTAATTAATTTCAATATTTTTCAACCAAGCATAAGCTGCCCCAAGGTAGTCTCCAGACGATGGGACATGCCAACAGCAAGGAGAACGGGAACACCATCGGCATCAGCGCGTTAAGCATATTGTGTTGCACTTAACCCTTTTTGCCGACTTTGTACTTTGAAGATTGTTGTTGCAACATAAAAATACTTATTACGTGCAGCAGAACATGCAGCAAGCCCAAAGGCGTTTTGCAATTTTTATATACATAATTATTCATGTAGTTATGTGCTATGTCGTAAATATATAGTCAGGCTATTTGTCTCTTTCTCTGGCTCCCTCTCTTTTCCACTCGATCAGTTAGTGGGTTTTTGGGAGTAACTTAAATCAATTGCTGCACACAGCGGCAAAAGCGTCAACGGTCGAAGCCGTAGCTGACGTTGCGACCGGGGTCTCGAATCTCTCTGCAAGTCTTTCAGTCTGCGGCCCGTTCGCTGCGCTTGAGTAATTTCATTTTTGGTGGCTTTGTCCTTACTGGCAAATGACTTGAAGCTTGGACGCGGCTTCCTGGCCATCTCTTATGGCATTTATGCTACTTATGCAGCGTTTGTGGCTGCTGCTGCTGCTGCAGTGCCGCTAAAATAACCGTAATTAATCAATTTGAGCAAAGTGGCAGCAGCGGGACTTGGCGTAGGGCGTTCGGTCAACGGCAATGTCCGTGTAATAACAATGAAAACAGCGTGTGTTGCATGGGACACGGCCAGACGTGGCATATTGCTATACACGTACTCATACTCGCATTGCTACTCATGTATATCTGCACACCATAAATTATGTTCGCACAGGGTTAAGCGCATTATTTAAGCATTCATCACGAGCTGCGGCCCAGTCGCAGACACCGCCTTGGTCCGAAATCGTCTGGGGCCCTTGGCTGCTTCTCTCATCTGTTGCCGTGTAATAATTTTTGAAATTTATGTAAACAGTGTTGATTATGGATGAGTTATGTAGCATGTTCTACCCTTTGTTGCTGTTGCCATTTTCGCGTTGCGAGCGCAGTTAATTTTAAGCTTGTTTTGCAGGAACTCGCCTGCACTTACCCGCAAGCCCCAGCCCCAGCCTCAGCCTGAACCTGAGCTTGAGTCATCGTCCAATTGATGTCTTTATTAGGCTGCTGCCCGCAACACGGCTGCTAAATATCAAGCGGGTTACATATTTTTGCTTGGAACAATAAAATGCCAGCTAGTGAACGACGCTGACTTCGAGTCTGAAGCGGGCTCAAGCCATGAGTATGCTGACAGCTTGCATTTAAGGCGTGTTTGAAGCACTTAGCCAAGTCATGGGAAGCCAAAAGTCGCTCACGGACTCTTGAGCATCTAAGACCCATGATATACATAAATATTTTGAATTGCCGAATTTGTATGTGGCACATTAAAAGTGACACGAACAATTATTTACCATGCCACACACACACACACACACACACACACACACACACACACACACACACACACACACACACACACACACACACACACACACCACACACACCACACACACACACACACACACACACACACACACACACACACACACACACACACACACACACACACACACACACACACACACACACACACACACACACACACACACACACACACCACACACACACACACACACACACACACACACAACACACACACACACACACACACACACACACACACACACACACACACACACACACACACACACACACACACACACACACACACACACACACACACACACACACACACACACACACACACACACACACACACACACACACACACACACACACACACACACACACACACACACACACACACACACACACACACACACACACACACACACACACACACACACACACACACACACACACACACACACACACACACACACACACACACACACACACACACACACACACACACACACACACACACACACACACACACACACACACACACACACACACACACACACACACACACACACACACACACACACACACACACACACACACACACACACACACACACACACACACACACACACACACACACACACACACACACACACACACACACACACACACACACACACACACACACACACACACACACACACACACACACACACACACACACACACACACACACACACAAACTCACTCACTCATAAGCTTTTTCGGGGAAATATGAATTGCAGCGAGCAAAGCCAGAGGTAGAGGCCAAACCATTTGGGTGGCGCTTTTGTCTTTGAAACGTGCCTGTGCTCGTGCCACATGCAGCGCGCGCTGCCTGCAACGTTTCAGTCGCCAATAATATTTTAATTTTATTTTTTCATCAGCTCAATTCAGGCACGCTGGGCCACGTAGCCACCCGGCAGATATGTGCACGTTTAGCGGGGACAATCACTCGATAGACTGCCACATGTCCCCTGCAACTGCAACGCATGTCACCTGAGCCTCAGCTTCTGCCTCGGCTGGCAGCAGTTTGCAACTTGTGGGTAGCTCGCTAATGGCCTGCGGTTTGCGCTTTTAAACATGCGCGCTGATAAGCACGACAAACATTTAACAAGTAATTAAACATACTCCCAAAGCTCAGTCCCAGTCGTTGACTCCGACTCAGCCATAGTTTCAGTCCAGCCTGGACGGACGCCTGCTCTGGCGTGGCCTGCTGGTAAATGTGGGTTAAGGACGCACAGCATTCAACGGTCGCCGCCCCTCGCCGCTGGCAGTCAATGTTCATTTTGAACATTTTGTTTTCGTTTTGGATATTTTGTGTAATAGTTGTAATAGAGTTGCTGAAATTTGGCATTGTGCACATACATATAACTTCGGCAACGGCATACAGTACACAGATGTCTGACCCACACCCACATTTCATTAGCTCCAGTCGCTGGGCGCTGTGATAAATGTGATAATAAATATTCAAGCTGTTTGTGAGTGTTATAATTTAGTGTTGATTAGTTTGCGCAAATAAGAGTTATTGATTCAATTTCAATTAAAAGGATATGAATGTTTTGCGTTAGCACCATTCCAGGTCACATCAATTCTCTCGCCTACAAATGAAAAGACTTTACCAACAAACCCGTTTCCATTTTTTTTTCTCTTTTTTTTGGCACCTTTGTATTGATAAAACCATAGTCAGATTATTAATGATACCTAATGAGTGGGCTGGGCCGCGTCACATAGCTGCAACTGCGCACTACAATCGCCGACTGCCAAGTGAAACCGGGCGAAGCGGCAAAATGGCAATTACGTGTCATTTATATGAGCCGCTGAACGTATAATTTGTGTAAACTAAAAGCTCAAGCATTTATTAACTTATTTTCGTAAGCAGTAAGTAATGAAAAGAACTCTTAAGTTTCACGTGTCGATAGAACAGCCTCTCTGCAAGGGCAACGACAGCTGCCAGCGCTGCCGACGCGGCTGCTGGTGACTGCCGCACCACGAATTGTAGCCGGAGCTGTTAGAGTGCGTGGAAGTCGTCGAGGGATTGGGTGAGCAGCAGAACTGAACTGCCGTTAGGGGAGCTAGAAAACAATTTAAGAGCTGAATATTATAGCCATTAAAAATGCAAAAGTAAGGGTCTAACTTACTTGGGAGAGAACACAGAGTAGGCTGGTTCATGAACGAGGGCAACAACTATAACTACTAAGAACTATCTATATATAGCAACAAATAGGAAGACAATACTTTGGACGACACAAAAGCTTATGAGGCCTGATCGGAATGATTGTTGGACAGCTGACGCATGGTGAAGGTCGTCTCTGCAGTTACAATGGACAAAGCATTAGAATAGCCACAGTTTAATATAAGATTTCATACCTGGTGTGCGGAAGCCCTCCTGTATCTTGTAGATTTCGTTCAGCTCCCGGGCGCTGCAGAGGGGCGTATCCACCTGAGTAGTCTCATTGAAGCGAGCATAGTCGATCTCATATGCTTGCAAATCCTTGTTGTACAGAACCACAGGATCGAAGCGGTGGCCCCACAAAATCTCCGTATTGATATAGCTCGATCTGGCCTGCGTAGACTGGCCCGTGGACTCGACAGTGCCCTCCAGAATCACAACAATTTCGAACTTGTCCTGCAACATGTCGGTGGCATTCATGTTGTACAGCGGCGAATTCTCGTCTATTCGGTGCTCAATCACCATGGGCCAGATGAAAAAGAGATCGGAGCCCGACTCGTCGGTGCCTATCTGCAGCTCTGTAAAATGTTGCGTCATGACTTCACCCTCCTTCGTACTGCGTGTCCTTATCAGCTGGGCACGCACTCCAGCGCCAATAATGTGGGACTTGCGCATATCGCCTACGCGGAACATTAACGAGAGGCAACCATCGCGCTGGCAGACCACCGCGTGCTTGGAAAAGAGTAGAGTCTGAGCGCGTTGCTTGGCACGTGTCATTTTGGCGAAAACGATGCCAGCCATGAACGCCGATGACATCACACCATATATGGACTGAAAGCACATCATAAATATTGCCTCGGGGCACTCCGGTGAGGTGGTGCGTACGCCGTAGCCAATGGTGTGCTGCGTCTCGATGGAGAACAAAAAACAGGATGTGAAGCCGTCGATGGCTGATACGCATGGCGCCCAGCCAGAGTCCTCTAAAGCATTGAATCTATCAGCTGATCAGCTTCGTTAATTTGACATGTTCACTTACCCTGATTATGCGGCAGATGCAACTCTTCCAGATCGCCGTGTGTAAACATAATAAGCCACCATATCAGTGCAAAAAACAGCCAGGACAATATGAAGCTCAATGCAAAGGCCAGCAGTGTCCAGCGCCATTGCCAGTCCACCATTGTTGTGTACATGTCCTGCAGGAAGCGCACCCTCCTGCGCTGCAGATGCTTTTGCACCACATTGCAATCCCCATTCTTGAAGACTGCGCGACGACGCACACGTCGCATGCTTCCTGGACGAAAGTTGCGAGATCTGCAGAAAATAAACAAACCATATTGACATAAAGAATGCGGATTCTGCGAATGTATACGAATTTTAAGTGAGCCTGAAAATATGTTACATTTTCCCATGACAATACCAAGTTGGATTGGTAACCAAGAGGGTTGCTATTCAGGAGCAAAAGTTAGTCAATCAAACGTGGCAGTCGTAAATTTCCTATTCCATTCTGGGAACACGAGTCCTAAATATTTAAATATGCATCAAATATATTCTCTATTTACGTTTTGATTTATTTCGAGGCCAGTTACACTTCAATGCCATTTAGTCTGTCTGCGATTAAATTGCCTGGCCAGACTTGCACCATTTACCCCAGTTGCCCGCTGTGCATGGCTAATTGTCTTAATTGAGTGCGCATTTAAACAACTAACTATTTGCCAGCTTTTGGATATGGAAATGAAGTGCATCTAATTAACAGCTCACTTAATTTGCCAATGTCAACGACAACGAACTGAACTGGATCTTCTAGAGCCAATATGAATACTAGATATTGCATCTTGTATTTCATTGAATCAATCGCAGTTAATAATTCCATCAAATTGTCGCTACTAGATTTAAGAGTAGCTCCCACATGACCACATCCCACAAGCAGCTTTGTGCAATACACAGTTACAATTAATTTAACTTGGACCCCATTGGCACTTGGAGCTCGGGCGATTAATTGACATTGTGCTGGTTCCATAAATAACGACTAATCGAATTTAACGCATAACCCTCTAAAGCCATGTGCGGCATGTGGGGGAATGAGTGCAAAGTGTGGCAGCGCTATCAAATGATTCATTTCGCTTTGTAGAAAAGCCGCACTCACTTAATTGTTAATTAGTTCCATTACCCTGAAAACAATGTTGCCGCCAACGCAGCCAAAGATGCCTCAACCCCCCGCCTTTAGCTTAGGTCCATCCAGTGGAGCAATCGTCTGCGGAAATGATTTCATAACGGCTCACGTGTGGGAAAATTGTGAGCACAATTGATTGATAAAGCGTAAATGGGATAGAGATGGGCCAATAACTTAAATCAAATCGTTTAACGGGTGAGAAACAGATCTTTTGAAAATCTGTCTAATGTATAGGTCGTTTCACTTTGACAGGTGAATAATGGGCCATTGGGACAAAATTTGAATGGATAGGCTAATGAGGCGGCGACTTCTGCTTTCCACTGTCCGCTCTCCCCTAAACTGTGTGTAGGAAAACATTTAGAAAATATCTCGACTAGATAATGCTCGTAACTCATGTAAAAATGACCGCGTGGGCGTCTGAATAAATTACAACCGCAAACAGCACACGGTGTACTTAAACCAAATAAGCGTCTCACTGCTCATCAGCAAAGCGCATCGTAACGTAAGACTTGTGTATCTGTTAGATGCACACACACACGCTCGAGCTGCTGGCCCCTCTATATGAGATACCGCGTTCTAGCTGCAAGTTCAAGTTGAATGTCAAACACTTAGGCCTCATACATTTTACATGGATAAAAAAAGTGATATACCCCTTAGCTAGCGAGTGGCTGGATCCTTTGAGTGCCTCATAGTAGACGCCAGCCTGTGAGGGCGTATGTGAGATGCCTCTCATATACTGGCGTTTCCACTCCTTCATATGCGCAAAAGTTTCATCCTTTTCGCCGGCGACGGTCTCTGCATCGGCAGCATCCTGTAGCACCTGCACATCTGATAAAGGTACCTGCATATTAGCTATCGGGACACGTTTCGTGTCAGTGCGCGCACAAAACTTGACTAAAGTTGGGGCTATCTCAACTGATCCCAAGCCAACATGAACACCAGAGCTAACTTTGTTTGGCAAAGGAATTAGAGCAGCACTAACTAATCAATATCTGTTGACTTTGCTAGTTAGACACCTGACAAGACGAGTGCAAACAGAGCCCTAATGGCTTGCCACACACACGCCCCCTTTGCTAAGCATTTATTCCCCCCTGCTGACTTACCTGCAACTGGGCTGTCGCTGAAAAGACTTGCCGTTTGTGGAGAGGCCATAGAAGCTGGCTGGACGATTCGGAACTATCGTTATAGGGTACGACTGCGGATTGCTGATCACACTGTCCAGTGAATCGGGATCCTCTTCGATTGTCATTGGTCTCTTGAGGGGCTTTGTTGCCTTTTCATTGGACCTCTCAGTCGCTGTTTCCGCCGCCGATGCAGCTGTGGTTGTCGTCGCTGCCGAATGGCTAGAAAAATTAAAACGCATCTGGGAGAGACAGATGACAGTGCCGTTTAAAATGGCATTATAGGTACTCGTGAATCAAAACTGTTTTCGCATTGACTCGCTGTCAGGCCTCGTCAGCCACTTTTGTTGCCTTAAGTGCGCAAACAGATACTTGCGATGACAGCGAATCGAGGTGCGAAATATGTATCACATATAACTAGATTTATATTCGTAAACAACAGATGAGCACATGAACGCGAGCAAAACAGCAAAACTGTTATCAATTGCAAAGACTGCCCTAGCCCGATATTATTTATTGTTCTGAGCGCATATGACTAGATGAATATACCTACATATTTAAATAAAGTGCAACACAAACAATCGTAACATTTGCATAGCTTGTTTTATTAATTTGTCACTCTTGTATCACAAAAGTTTGCTTTTTGGTGATGCGCACACTTTTTGCACGAAAATCGTCTATATATCTATATATATATATCGTTTCTGGACGCTTCCAGTTTTTAGTTTTACATTAGAGATCGCCTATATTTTATTATTAGGTACTTAAGAATGTTACGTCCGCTAAAAATATATTAAATATCTGCTGTACAAACACACCTTTTAGCGAATATTGGTTCTTATGGGATTAAAGACTTTTAGCACCTTATTAAGAGCGCAAAAGTTTCAATGAATTGACACCTTTAAAACGATCATTACGCTTTTTTTCTTTTGTTATGCAAACAAACTTTAGCACATCTTTAGTAATTTAGTCACTTTTTATTTGGTATGTACAATGTATTCGAAACGCACGCCGCTAAAATTGTGATTTGTTTTGTGAACGCGCGCCGAACCAGAAATGAACAGAGAGATCGCCGATCAACTGTTCACAGAGCACAACACACACAGAAGCCGAAACTGAAACTATCCATGGAAATCCAATGCGACACTGCGATGACAACCCCACAGAAGCTATTCCGTAAGTCAGACCAACGGATTAAATGAGGGCTGACTGACGCCGACTGCGACGGCGACTGTGTTTGTGACAGCAAGAAATTATCAAACTAAACAAAAGTTGTGAACAAAAGGCGGCCCGCTGTAAATGAGCTCAGTTACGCACACACTCACAGAGACGGTTCCCACTCAGACTGCAGATTGATGCTCTCACAGATACAAATGCCAAAACAGATACGCACACAAGCAGATAAAATTGTCGCGTTGATACGAGAAAAGTTCAATTGAAAAGATTCTTAAATTGAAAATGAGGCGGAAGATAAGCGCGATAAGTTCTGCTTATCTATATTTGATGATTCCACGGACAAAAGAAATTAAAAAAGTCGCTACTTTTAGCGGACACGACCTTGCCTCTCAATGTTTTATCACAAGGGTAGCGTATACGTAATATTTAGTAAGCGCTTTCTCATTGCAGGGTTATGCACACAACTGATTTAAATATATTCGAGAATCTGAATGTTTCACAACAGATAACAGAATACACAAGCGATCCGTTACACGTTATTTGATTCTGGATTATGGGGCGTATACGTAATATATTAATATTTACGCGTCGCTGATTGCACAAGGCTCACGCGCCTGTTTGCTGCAGTCTACAAGCGAAGAGTGCTATTCTAGCTCGCTGTTACCTTCGTGTCGCATAAATCTCTCAGATGGGCTCAATTTGATGGCGGAAGCTGGCGAATGACGACCCAGTGAAACGACTCAAAGTCACGCGTCATAAATTTATTACATTTTTTTCCAATTAGTTTGAGGCGTGTAGATAATAATTTAAAGTCAGTAAGTGAATTAAATTATTTGACAGCATCTAAACTTATAAAGAATCGCCCCGGCTATCCAGAAGGAACGGATGTTGGCAAACCTCAATAGCTGATAATCGATGTTGCGGCATCTTAACCAAAAGCGAGTTTATGAGCTGTTGTGCGTATGGACTCATTTTGCTCTTACACTCGGAGGGTATTTCATGGCGGCTCTTCCGAATGCATTCCTGAACAATGTTCGTATTGCTCTCACTATGAGCGAAAGGGAGCCGACTGCACAACATATAGAAGAGCGTGATTCCCAACGACCACAAGTCCACGGAAAAGTCGTATCCAGCATAGTTAATCAGCTCGGGTGCCATATAGTGGGGCGTGCCGCAACACTGATAAAGTTCGCGGCCTTTGTATTGAGTGGCCAATCCAAAGTCGGAGATCTTAATCGCAGCCACCCAAGGCTCTAATGGACCAGAGAAATCGAATTGTACCAACAGATTGTCCAGCTTCAAGTCGCGATGGATTATCTGACACCCATGAATGTACGCCAGCCCTCTGGTCACGTCTTTCATGATTTTTTTGACCAGAGTCTCGGGGAAAACAGTTTTACTCTGCAACAGCTCAAATAAATCACAATCGAGTCGCTCGATAACAATGTAAATGTACTTGCACTGCTCCACCGTGTATATTAGATCAATGATGTTCGTGTGGTCCTGCAGTTGTCGCAAGATTTCTATCTCAAAGTAAGTTCCGTTTGTTCGCGTAAACATGTGTTCTTTGTTCACCATTTTAATTATATAATGCTTGTCGCTTCGGGCTCTACCGCTGCCCTGAAATATTACAGTCGACTTGTGGACCCAGATTGGCTTCTCCACGTTTATGTATAATAGTATGGCTTGCGGCAGCTTGCAGTTCTCATAATCGATGACAAGCTCGTTGTCATCGAAGCATTTATTTTCTTCTTCTTCCTCGCTTCCCTCAACCGGCGCACACTTCTCACGCATTCGAATGAGAGAGCCCAGAAGTCGCATATAGTGCTGGTTGACATTGTAGCCCACATCAACGTAGGGCTCGTACTGACAACAGCAGACCACAATGTCGCCCTCATAGAAGTCATCTATGGAATGAAGAGGCGTGCCGTTGATCCGATAAACGCGCGTTATCGCCGACTTTAGGACCACATGAGGGCGAAATGCCACAGTGATAGCCTCTAGCAACGCCTTGAATTCTTGGTAGCGTTTCTTTGACACGGCCAGGGAAATGCCGCCAAAATGTTGATCCATGTTGCGTAGAAAGCAAGCACGCAGAGCTTTACCCGGAAGACGGTGAGCCAGTGGGCAGATGCTGTCTGTATGTTGTCGCTGAAGTGCAGCGGTGTTCTTTATGTCCTGTATGGATGTGGTACGTTTCATTGTGGAGCGGTTATATTTGTTACAAAATATATGTATTGTATAAAGTATTCGGTGTTGTTGCACGGAGTAAGTATGTTAGTATATATGTAAATATATTTGTGAGTATGATGTTACTAATCAAAACTTTCAGTAAGCCTACATAATTCTACTGAAACTCGGCCCAGTGCCTGGTATCTATACAGCAATTCACTCTCAATATTCTTCCGTAATCCAAAGGATAGGCACGGGGGATGGGTGCTGGAATTATGACAACGACCACATAAATTATGTCACCCTAAATTGTGAATGGCAGCAACCGCCGACACTGATGAAGAGCACCCAAGCAGCTGTGAAAATTGAATAATCAGCTTAGTTACGCGACGCGACTGTGAGCGGCCACAAGTTATGCACGGGCACAGTGCGCTCACTCACACACACCCCACTTCTCCGATCTGCCTATGCTGGGTCACGCGTTGCAAGTTAGTATATGTCTGGCTGTATGTGTGTGTGTAAGTTCTCGATAAGTGCAAATTTGTAGGCAATCATTGGACTCATTATTATCTTGACACGCTGAAGGGGGGTGAAAATTTGTTATTTGATGCTTTCAATGACGCCTATTTGCATTTATTTTTAAACTGCAGTCAGCCAAGTTCAATTTGATTTTGTAATTTTCGTATTTTTGAGATTCTTGCATATTATAGTTAATAATTATGTTAATAGTTTATGCAATTTGTTAGACTTAATGCAGGAAACTATCACAGAGGGTAATCTTTATTTACTATAGCCCCCTAAAAATCTGCTGAGGTATACGTGTTTTATTTAAGTGCCCTTTGTTGCGGCTGCCTAAAAAGCAAAATCAGTCCAAAAGTATGCAATACTTCAGACTAGCTGAAGTATTGCTTTTATAAAATGGTATAACATACTTTTATATTTTTTAAAATATTTATAGCGACTTTCGAAAAACTTAAGAAATTTATATAACAAGCATTTCAGTCTTCACAATATTAGGAAATCAAAAATTATAGATTGATCAGAGATTAACCCGCTTATGATCCACTTCGGACCTAGTTAATTACCCACCAATATGAATTGCATTCCGATTTGTTTAAAGACATTGTGATTTATTTTACAAAAGATATACAAAACGTATTTCAGAATGTTTCCGAATACACCTTGACAGATTGATGGGCATTGATGTGCCCAGCATTTAGAATTGACATTGAATAACTTTAAACTTTGACTATTTACACCTGATATTGCATATGAAGTAAGGAAAAGTTTGCTGGCTTTGGGATGGCTATATGTAGAATGCTTAAGCTACGTGTCCATGTGTTCTGTGTGTATTGATATGGGCATGTGGGGGTGTGTATGCTTGTGTAATAGTGTGTAAATGCTGCAACACTTATAAACAAACTATCTGCTAAAAATATTATATGTATATCTACTGACTACTACTAAAATCTACGATAATTTTACAATGAAATTTGCATTAAATATTTTTTCTGCTCACTCTTTCACAAAATGGCAAAATGTTTACAAAATGTGTATATGTGTATGTAAGTGTGTGGGTGTGGTTGGGTGAGCAATGCGCTTGGTGATGCCTATATTTATATAAATGTGGCTCTGGGCCTGGAGCATTACATAGCCGCACCATTGTAATGTTGATACATTTCATCCCAGAATCGCTGTCGCTCCGGCTCGGGATTCGTTTTCATATTAAGCTCGTGTGAAATGTCTAAATAGTTCAGACTATTCATAACGTTTGTGGCATCGATAGGTGCCCATTTGGCTGTCAGGATAGGATCCTCAAAATTGGGCGTGGGCGTTCTGAAATCAAAACATGATATAGTTTACTCTACTAACTTAAAAGCTTTAGAGTTATTACCCATATTTGGCAAAGTTCGTCCACATTCGCACCATGCGGTTCTTGACTTGCACTTCCATGGACTTCGGATCCAGGCTTAAGTTGAAGAATCCAAACTTGAACAGGTAGCCCATCTCATCGCCGTGGCAAACACCCGGCCTGGGAATACCTAGCATGCGCTTGTACAGACCTAGAGCTCCATCGAAGGAGAAGCGATACATGTAAACAGGAGCATTACCATACTTGGCATGGTTGCGAGCAGTGCGACGAATACCTTGCAGGAACATGAGATCTGTTAAGAGCTAGAGCCAAAGCAAGCTGTTGGTATGACCATAGATTATTAGATTCCTTGTACATACTGCTATCATTTCATCCACAGACTCGAGTCCAACATGCTTGTTGCCCAAATAAAAGGAGCGTATCTCACGGGTAACTCTATCATGGGATTGGGTTACATTGAGATCCTGTGGCACGAGCCGCCCAAAGTCATTCTCAATGATGTTTAAGAGCTGCGGATTCTTGCGCAATCCTACAATTAACGTGTATATTTTATTTAAGTAGTCCCTTCGAATCGCGATCTTCCAATACTCACTTCTTATAAAAAGCATAGCTTCATGTGTGTTATAGCCCGTCATATAGGGCACCTCGCTGTTGAAATTGTGCGCCTGGTACATGTCGCTGGGATGTTCAGTGAGAAAGGGTTGTTCAAGGTACAACACTTCTTGTGAGTCCTGATTCCAATATCCCTCCACCACGGGCACAAACGGCAAACCAATGTTGTTGCGCTGATCCTCCGCCGTTAGAGTCGTGGGCGCTGCCTCCACCAGCTTCATGGCGGGCACTCTGCGCAGAAAGTCCAAAATCTCCTCAGTATTGTTGGCACCTACATAACCGAGATTGGCCGCTAGCCGTGCCGCTCTCTGTCCTGAGCTGGCTGCCATTGACCAGGGATTCAAAGCAGAGCCGCTCTGCGAGATGGCGCGTTGAAAAAGGCCCTTCGCCAGTGGCGAGAGAAGCAACAGCTGCACTGAAGATGCCCCAGCGGACTCACCAAAGATTGTCACCTGCTCTGGATCACCGCCAAAAGCAGCTATGTTATCGCGAACCCATTGCAGTGCCAATACCTGATCCTTTAGTCCCTGATTGCCAGGCGCATCGGGCCCAGCCGTCAGGAAGCCCAAGGGACCCAGTCTGTAGTTCAATGTAACCAGAACGATATCCTCGGCAACCAAATAGTCAGGCCCGTAAAGAAAAGAGTTGCCGGAGCCAAAGGAGAAGCCGCCGCCATGTAACCACACCATCACAGGCAGCTTTGGCTGCGCCCTGCAAAAGACAAATAGAAAATTTAGGATCCATTATGCTATACAATTCTTTGATAAATGCTTACTCATCCTCCTTGGGCATGCGCGTGGTGAACACATTCAGAAAAAGGCAATCTTCATCGCCCTTAAAGGTGTCCAGTATCATGTTCTTGTGCGGACAACTTTGACCCTCTCTCGAGGCATCTCTTACACCAGTCCACGGCTTCTCCGGCAGTGCAGCGCGGAATCTGCATGGGCATAATATAGTTAAGGGCTCATTCATTATTAGAGCTGGACTCACCTTCTAGCGCCAATTGGCGCCGCACCATATCGCATTCCCTTGAAACTGTAGTAGCCCCCTCTCTCGCCTGAGCGATACTTCTGATAGCGACCGCGCACCTTGCCCAACGTCGTGCTGGCCACGATTTCACGTTCCTTCTACAAATGTTAATAAATCTTAAGCCTTTGAGCAACAGTTCGAGCGTTCGAACTTCTCTAGTATATACAAATAATGTATAGGCTAAAAAAATCAATTTTGAATGGCAACTCAAAAGCTTCTACATTCTTGCACCATGCAAGGTTGCCGGCGCGTGAAAATGCCAAGTATCTGTGAGATACTTAGTCTGCATGTTATTCTTACACAAGCTCTGCAAGAATTTCGCATTAATTTTGGATAGCGCTGGCGTTTGCAACTAGGCCATGGTGCAAATGTTGCGCAATCGTCTAATAGCCGAAAAGCCAGTTCTTGCCAACATTAAGTGAATGAATTTGTGTGGCGCCCAAGCAGCAGCTGCTGGTGGCAAACAGCTCTTTCTTTGTTCTTGACGCCATTTGTCCAACTGCCAACGACGACTTAGACTTGACCTCAGCTACCACAAACTGCAGCTGTGCGCTAACCGAACATGGCCACCGGGGAATTGATTATTGGTTCTTGATGTTCAAGTTGACGCTTGATTTGGCTAACACGGACAGTCAGTCAGTCTCGCTGATGTATTTGGCATTTAAGCGTCAAGGTAGTCGAGTTGCCATCAGTGCCTTTGTATTCTGCTTACCCGTAGTGATCGCACCACCTCCTGCACCACCCGCATTGCGCGGGACGGCAGCAATTGCACCAGCGAATTCGGATGCGAGGTCAGCGTTTTCCAGGCCGTCGTCTCCTGCAATTACAAAGGTCGCTCGGAATTTTTAATTGAATTAACAGCAATTTGCAGGCAAGCCAACGCGCCTTGTGCAAACACAACGCTCAAGTTCACTGCGACTGTTGCATTAATGTTGACAACTTTTCTGTGAGTGTGTTATTTTTGTTATTTTGTATGGGCTGCCCATTTTTAATGATGTTAACGGGCAACCTTGCGGTCAAGCAAATTTCGTTTAATTGAAATGCCATTTGCATAATACCAAAAAAAAATAGAAAAAACGAAAAAGAGAAGCCCTGCCAGAGACGGCAACAGTCACAACAGTTAAGTGGCAACAACAATGGCAGCAGTCACGTGCAGCCAACGCTTAATAAATAGTTAAATGTAGCTATATATATTTATATATATATGTACATATGCATGTATGTGTAGACGCATTTGCAGAGCTGTCTGTCAGCTGTCACATTAGCCGGCATGTGTCCCCAGCTGAAATGTATCTGTATCTTGAAGTGAATCATGACACAATTGGAGCAAACACACAACTCAGGATAGTTTCAAGTTCACATCATTTGAGTTACGATATTATGCTAATTTATTTTTCTTTATTTTTTGTATGTCTTTGAGCTGATCTAAAGACTTGACCCGCTATGTGTGTGGGTCTCTTTAAGCCATTGGCACGCAAATGTGGCTGCAGCTTTATCTGTGCTATAATATTAATATAAATGTGGGTGTAGCCGGTCATAAAACAGTTTCGATTGAGCTTTATTCAAATTGATTTTGTATGGCTTTGGCTTTGGCTTAATTTGGTTGTGCGGCCATAACACATAATATTTATAACTGTTTTTGTACTGCCTAAATTATTGATATTGTGAATAA